TGTCCAGCATAATCCCCCAGAAACATCTAAATTTTCTTTTCCTTTACATCTGTAATTATAATTCCTCATGTGAAAGCTGATCTAGGAAAAGAAAAGGCAAAGTTTTAACTCCCAGTCTATGAAAGAAAGTGGAAGATGGAGATGGAAAAGATGGCTTAGAAAGGTGGAAAGGCACAGAAATTACTGTAACGACTTACAAAGCTAATCCGGAAGTTCAAATCCACCAGTGTCTTCTCAGAAGAAAGATGACCAATCTCCTCCCATAAGATTTATAAAACCAGCCTCTGGAAACCAGCCAGAGGATCAGCTATGAGTCAGCTCTGACTGGACAGCAATGAGCTGTTACTGGTTTCTTCAGTACAACGGTATCTTTGGAAACTTACCTTTTTGTAGTGTAGTCTGTTAGCAAAGTACTGTCACAAAACTAAGTCACTAATCTTCACAAGCTTGGGAGGGTGGAGGGACAGCACAGGAGAGGAAGACCCTCTATTATGTGGATTGATTCAATCACTGGAGTAATGGGTGTAGGTTTATCAGAGACAGTGAGATTGGCACAGGACAGAGCAGAGTTTAGGGCTGCTGTACATAGGGCTGATATGAGTCACAGGTGACTTGACTGCACATAACAACAACACAACAACAATCTTCAAAGAGGGAGCTCTGGTGGCATAGGGGGTAAGGAGTTGTGCTGCCAACCCAAAGGCTTGTGGTGCTTTGAATGTACTGGCTGCTCCATGGGAAAAAGATGCACAATCTCCTCCTGTGTTATTGTACCCACTGAAAACCTGCTGGAGGGTTGGTTATAAGTCAGTTTTGAGTTGAGGGCACAAAACCGCAACAATAGTCTGTGTTTAGGGAGCCATAGTGGCATCGTCTATAGCAAGTTCCCCTGCTAGGAAGCTCTGGTGGCCTAGAGGTTAAAAGCTTCATTGCAGTCCCAAAGGTAAGCAGTTCAAATCCACCAGCTGCTCTGTGGTAGAAATATGGGCAATCCCCATCTGTGTGATTTACTGTCTCTGAAAATCTACTGGAGGGTCACTATGGGCTGCTTCTAACTCAATGGCACAAAAAACAGCAGTGCCATAGTCTTTAGTGAGCTGCTGTGCTAATCCAAAGGCCTTGATTGTCCAGTGGTTCCAACAACAAAAATAAACAACGTAATTTCCAAAAACATCCAGTGACTTCTCTGGAGAAAGAGAGACAGTCTTGTTCCATTTTGGTAGATTTCTGAAAGCCCAGACTTACCTTGCTTATTGGGTAATTTGACACCAGAAGCACGTAGGCTGGTGCACAGGACAAAGTTTCTCAACTGTTTGTTACCCTTCCTTCCCCCTTCCTGGCAGCGATAGTCAAATATAAATACATTCTTCTAACAGGCTAGGTGCCAACTTCTGGCGCTCTCTCAGCTCACCATTGTTAGCTTTTACAGCTTCCATACGGCACCATACACACTCACTTTGAAGATTAAAAGAAATCACATTTCCTCTGAGAATTTCCAAATGCCCTCTGACACAGCAGGGTGTCACAAAAGTAGGCACGCAATCACTGGTCTGTACGTACATGAGAACAAGATGGAAACTGGAAAAATAACACCAAGTTGGGGGCAGAAAGCTGGTAATGCACATTGATCTACTTTTCGGAGGACAACTGTCAGTAATATTACTGCCAGGTGGGTGTTACGTGCTGTAGATTTGGAACCCACTCCAAGGGGTTTTGGTCTGACAGTTACCCTTTGTGACAGTATAGGGTTTCTAAGCCTGCAATCTTAAATCTTTAGAGAAACAGACTGTCCCATCTTTGTCTCTCTGGAAAAGCTGACTGATGGTTTGAAACCTCCAATATTTGTATTGTGCCCCCACGACTCTGCTTTCAACAAAGTGCCTTTTGAATGATCCAGTTCTCCCGTGGAGACATAAGGGCAGAATCTTATATTGCCCTTGACCTCTCGTTCCCTCACTCACTCTCACTGTCTTTGAGTTGGAACCCTTTCAGCAGACCTTCCAATGGTTTGTGAGGCTGTAAATTGCATGGGAGGAGATTGCCTGTCTTTCTTGCAAGGCCTTTGTGTAAGCAGTGTAACTCCCTAGATCCTGGGCCACCAGGGCACAAGCAGTGGGAATCAAAGCCTCCCTAGAACCAGTACTGGGCCCCAACTCCAGAGATTCATATTCTATCGGTTTGGGTGATGCCCAAGGATTTCGCATCTCTAACATGTTGCCTTGTGATACGGAGACCACCGGTCTTAGAGCACACCCTAGAAACCCCCAGAATATAGTGTTGGGGCCATTCCATCCTTCCCACCAGCTAGTGACAGGATCACTAACAAGACATCCCCAAGATGAGTCCTCTGTGTCGAAACTGGAAGACTGTATGTTATTAGAGCAGAGGCCTCTCAGTAAAGGAACCTCCTGCTGGTGTTAAATTTTATGAGTGGTCAGATACAAGTAGACTTTGGTGATAGCAGTGGAAAAAGCAGTAATTCAAGACGAGGAGGGGATGTAGAGGAGGGACACTGTCAGAGGATAGAAGAGTACCAAGTCCAGGCAGAGAATGCACCCCTAGGGGTCATAAGTACCCAGGCCCACGTGTTCCCTGATGCCAATGACAATCAAGTTCCTGGCAGTATCCTTGGTCCCAAGTCCATAGCCTCCCTTCCGCTTCCCCTTCCTTGTCCTGGTCCTTGGCCCACAGGGTCTGCTGTAAAGAAGCCCAGGGCTGGGGGTGTCTCCCACAGCCTAGTGCAGCTCTGCAAGTCGAACGTGAAGAAATATTTCCTAGAAGCCCAACACTGCACAGAGCAGAGCAGCTGCTTTCACTGACAAATTGACTGTAGGTTTTAAGAGCTATGGGGGGAGAGGTGGGAATCAATATTATCATAAAGTGCTTCCTCCCAGGGCCTTTTCTGTGCTGTTCCTGAGGACTGTGAGCACTGAATGATGGTCTTTGGTTCCAAGAGCACTTTTGTGAGCAACCACTCTCGAAGCACTAAATTATTTCCCTGTGAGCTTAATGTGACTGTGGATCAATAAGAGGACTCCCCCCTGGCCCTCCTGCTCACTGCTCCACCGTCAGAGTGATCTTTTCAAATCACAAATCTGAGCATGACGACCCATGCAGAAAGCATTCCAAGGGCTTTCCAGGACTCCTAACGGGCCCCCAGGCCTGCAAGCAGGGCCCCACCTGCTCTGGCTTCCCTTCACCACCTGCCTCGCTCTCTGGACACCTCCAGGGGCTGCTTTCCTCATCTCATAGGGTCTTGGGCTTCTGACTCTCAGGCTGGCCATGCAAGTCTCTCTGTCTGAACAGCTGGACTCATTCCCAGTGTAAATCCTCAGGGAAGCCTTTTCCTGACTTCACACTTCCTCTGGGCTGGGGGGGAATCACCTTATTACATGGCTTGGAGTCCCAAGCACCTGTCACTGGCTTGGTACCACAGTTAGCATTTTCTGGAACTAATAAGTGATGGTGAAACACTGTCTCACATACTCTGAGAATGTTATTAGGAAAGGCTCTTACTTGAAAGGAGACATAAGACAAAGAAAAGTAGAGAAGGGTCAATAAAAGAGAAGAAGACTCTCAACAAGATGGACTGACACAGTGACTTTAATAACGCCCATACCAGAAGGGGTGAGGAAGACACAGGACAGGGCAGGGTTCAGATCTGTGTGTTCACAGGGTCATTGTGAATCGTAGTTGACTTGATAGCAACCCACATCAATTCCCTGATGTTAATGTCTGACAATCAAAGAGCCCTGGCGGTGTAGTAGGTTAAGGGTTGGGTTGCCAGCCAAAAGGTCTGCAGTTTGAATGCACCAGCAGTTGCATGGGAGAAAGAGAAACTTTACAGCCTCCCACGAAGCCTTGGAAGCCTGGCAGGGTTGCCTTGAGTGAGAAGAGGACTGGTCGGCAGTGGGGTAGTGTCTTAAGGATGTTCTCTGTCCCACTAGCGTGTGATCAATGTGACAGGAGGTTCTATGTCACCTTTTCTCACCACTGTGACTCCCATGTGCACCTGGGCACCAAGTTGACTTTCCATCAGTATTTATGTAAGGAAAGATAGAATAAATACAATGACTTGATGATGATCATGTGGGCTTGGAACTGACCTTGTTTCTAGGAAAAAAAAAAATCAAAGATCTTGGCTATTTTGAGCAGTTCAACAAATCAACACTGGCCTTGTTTACTGACAAACCTGGACGATAGTGTAGCTTCAATCCCTGACTACTGCAATAGTAAAGTTAGTGTCTCAGTAAAGCAAGTCACATTATTTTTGTTGTTGTTTCCCAGTAGACATAAAAGTGAAATTTAACCTGTAGTTTGTGGGAGAAAGATGTGCAATCTTCTTCCCTGTGATTTCCTGTTTCTGAAAACTCACTGGGGTGGAGAGGGTCAGCTGTGAGTTGGTTCTGACTAGATTACACAGCCTTAGTGGTTTTGTAGTCATGGGTGGGATTCCTACCACCGACCTTTTGTTTTGCCACCAGAGTGCCTCGGGCATAGCCTTACTGGACACTTACCTGTGTGGCCTTTCGCCCTCCTTAAATCCTGATTTGCTCGTCAGATAGACTGAGTTCCCTAAACACCATAGTACAGCCGCCCTTTACTGCCACATCTGCACACCATGCTCTAGCTGCCTAATTCATAAGGAATTGCGCAGCTTGCGCAAAACCCAGAGGTGGCGTCTTTTAGGTTATTAGAATCCAGCAGCCCTGAGGGAGACAATATCCTCCCGTGGGATTTAGGAGTCTCAGAAAACCCGCTGGAAAGGTCAGCTGTGTTGAGCGAACACTATGAGTCATCAGGTTGGAAAACACTCCCCACAGAGGGCTTCGCGGAAAGGGAGGCAGCTGGCCTTTCCTGCAGCAGGCACTTCCTGAATTTCCTATCCCCTTCGGCTGACCTGGCCATGCCTCTCTCTGCAGCGTATGGGGCTTTCCCTCCACCGCCCACGGTCTTCGTGGGATGAGGGGCCCCGGGGTCCCCCGCGATGGCAGGCATACCGAAGGCGTGCGCGCAGTCCTGGCCCTGCGCCGTCGAGTACTGCAGGCAGCCGGCTCTCTCCTCCAGCGGCGGGCAGGGGGCGCCGCCGTTCAGGGGCTCCTGCCGCACCAGGCGCCTGCGCACGCGCGCGGTGGGCTTGCACTGGTCCGCGCAGCCGCTCCAGGGGCTCCACTCCCCCACGAGGCACGGGCGAGCTGGAAAACAGCACAACGGGACGTCCTGCTGAGCACACTGGCCACTTGCCGGGAGCTCGCTCACAGACACATTTCACATGAGCTTTGATGAGGGCCCTTTATCAGGAGCAACACAAAAAACCACTAAAGCTGATGCTCATCCCTCCCTCTGGGGCCCTGACAGGGGCTTATGCGGGGATCCTGAACCTGAGGCTGAGGCACAGACCCGTCTGACTTAATCTGGCAGACAGACCCATGGCCTTCATTGCATTTACGCATATTCCCAGGAAATGGGCCTCCTTTGCTTTTGTTTTTTCCCTTATGTTAACTTCAATAGTTAAAAAAAAAACAACAAAACTTTTCTTAAAAAACACTGATGCACATTCTTGGAAGCAGGAGTGGCATCCACTTCCGAAACAGCTTGCCTCTGGAAACTCTATGAACCTGGAGAAATGATGAAAGTTATTCAAGTGTCCAAGTCTTTCGTTCATAGGGTGACTATGAGCTGTCTGTGACTTGATGGCACTTAACAACAACCATACACATTCACCGAGGTAAATATAAAGAAAAAAGTAAGTATTTTCAAAAGAAATAAGAAAAGCACCAATAATCCCAATCTCCTACCTATGTAAAATTTTACCAGCAAGGGTGCCTCCAGAAAAGGGCTGGCTTTGCGCTGCAATTCAAAAGGCCAGCGGTTCAAATCCACCAGCTGCTCTATGGGAGACGGGATGGAGAGTCTCCTCCCCTGCAATTTAGTGTCTCTGAAATCCCACCGGAGGGTCTACTATGGGTCATCTCAACTCAATGTCTCACAACCACCACAAGCAGAGCCTCTATAATGTTTGTCTCTCCTGGTTACTTTATCCTCCTCCCCCTGAGCTCATTCACTCGCAGACATGGAATGAATTTCCACCCATAGGAAACCTCCAGTGGTTTCCTGGCTGTAACTCTCAACAGGAGGAAATTAGTTCCCCTTTCTCCTGAGGAACCGCTGATGGATTTGAACCACCAGAGCCCCATGACCTTTTTGGTTAGCAGGACAACGTGCTACACACTGCACCTCACCCTGGCTCACAGACTCATAAACTGTGAAAATACAGATACAGGCAGCTAAGGTTTAGAGAGATCAAAAGTCATCTTGGCCTGTCATGAAGAGGCAGTTGTGAAAATGTGGCCTTAGTATCTAGTTCTTTTTCTACTACTCTTTTTACTATACATGAGCTACGCAGTGGAGCCCAGCTGGTCTGTAGCCAGACAGCTGTGAACAAGGCTTCCCCTGGAGACCAGCACTATGTCATGGGTCAACCAGAAGCTGTGCCCCTCTCAATGATTGTCAAGTTCCCATACCAAATCTGAAGAGGGAATTTTAAAACTCAATTTCCTGGCCATGATTGTAAAATCAATGTGTGTTCGCATTTCATTTTCCAGCTTAAAATCCTAATGAGCCTTTTAAAAGGGCTGCTATGCATTTTTAAGTGGAACTGTTTCAGTACCAGAAAATGGATATGAGAAAAGAAGGGAAGAACATGAAGGCAAAAAGCATGACTTGAAACTAGATGTCAAGTCTTTCTTTCCCCCCTACAAATTATAACTCACTTTCTCTATCACTTTGAAGTTTGTAGTATTTTTAGCAAGAAAGTTCTCTGACTTCTTTGAACCCTTGAGTTGGACTCTTGACAGCTTGTACTTGAAAATTCATTTTGCCTCTCAAGCACCTTCTAGGTTAGGGTTCACAGCTTATGGAAGAAATAATACTTGGCAACACATAACTACCTTTGACACGAAAAAGGTCACTAACAATATTAACATCTGTCAGTAATTAAAACAATTGTAATACCATGTTAAAGCACACTTTCATTACTCATCTAAAATCCCACGTATCACACACATCAGCTACCCAAAGAAGTCAAAACAGGCCACGTTCATTCCCAGTATCCAACACGCCCGTGTCCTTCAGAAAATCTACAAATACAGGTCATTTCCTGCTCTTGTCAGGTCTTATTGACCTCTCCTTTTCTATTTTCATAATCTCATGATTTAACTACTCTTAGCATCTAGCATCTATTGAAGTGCTAGAGAGCTCTGATAAACTGGTGGGTAAGAAGTTATACTGCCAAAACAAAAGCAGGTGGTTTGAATCACTAATTGTTCTGAGGGAGAAAGAAGAGCAATTTTCTCCTGTGAAATTTATGGCCTCTGAAAACCCTCCGGTGGGTCAACTATAGGCTTGTTCTGACTTGATCACATATAACAAGTAAATCTCTAATGGGAGAAGATCAAAGACTACAACCTTCATCTTTAACATCAAGAAAAGAAATTATCAAATCCCAACAAAACTCACCACAGCACCAAGAGACAACATCATGAAAGATGAAGAAAAGACTGAAGTTTTCAACAGTTTGATTTTACTTGGGTCCACAATCAACACTCATGGAAGCAGCAGTCAAGAAAAAAAAAAAAAAAGACATGCTGTGTTTGGAAGATCTGCTGACAGAGATCTCTTTAGAGTGCAAAAGAGCCATTTAAAGAATAAGGCACACCTAATCCAAGCCTGGATATTTTCAGTTGCTATGCATCTGAAATGGGCAATAAATAAGGATTGATGCCTTTGAATTGTCAGAGAATCAATCATATTAAATATCCCATGGCTGCCAGATGAATAGCCATGTCTGTCCAGGAGCAAGAGCAGCCAGGGTGCTCCCGAGAGGCAAGAATGGTGACATATCAGCTCACAAAGTTTGGGCATACTGTCTGGAGGGGCCGGTCTTCAGAAGAAGACATCATGCTGGAAAAGGCCAGTGAAAGAGGAAGATTACCAAAAGGATGGATTGACAAAGTGCCTGTGCTGTAACAGTGGCTCTGAGCATGTCTGAGAGTTCAGAACAGGACAGAGTTCCAATCTGATGTTTACAGGATCACGACGAGTTGTAAATCACTTGGACTGCGCCTAACAACCACAACAGAACCATGCTAGGATTTTGGTGGTCCTGTCTGTAGCAGGTCATACTGCCTAACCCAAAGGCTGTATGTCCTAGCAGTTCAAATCCACCAGTGGCTCCAACAGAGAGATGAGCAGTCTCCTCCTGATGTGACGTACTAGAAGTCCCAGAGAAAAGAATAACGAGTCATAACTGACTTGAAAGAAGAAGAAGAGTTTTAATAACTAAAGTTGCGGGCATTTAAAAAGATACCCTTCAGCTGGAAATGGGTTGAGAAGGGTTTTCGTGCTTTTTTGTTCAATGCCTTTTATTCTCCTAACTCTCCTCTTAGCCCTGAGTCTAGCTGGTTCACCTCTGATGTGTCACTAGGAACCTGCTGTCATCAGGTAGATTCTGATTCATGGCAACTTCATGTGTCAGTGTAAAACTCTGTTCCACAGAGCTTTCAATGACTGGTTTCACCGATCACCAGGCCTTCCTTCAATGGCCTCTACCCCTTGTTATACTCAAAACTCTATCTGGCCTTTTCGTTAGGAGCTGAGCACGATAATTTTTGTGTCACCTGGTAACTCCTCCAAGTTAGACACAAGAAATACTTCATAATATATATTTTTTTTTAAAAAAAAAAAAACACGTGCTGTTGTGTAGGGAGCTCTGGTGCCCTAGTGGTAAGAAGCTGCGCTGCACCTCGAAGGCACACAATTTGAATCCAGGGTTCTCTTGAGTTGGAACTGGTACATTGATGACTCTCTAGTGGGTTTTCAGAGGCAGTAAATTGCACAGGAGGGGGGCTTCCCATCTTTCTCCCAAGGGAGCTAGTGATTTAAACCATATATCTTGGAGTTGCAGCTCCCTAAAAATGTACATGCTTGTTTTTGGTTTTTTCTTGTTTTTTGGTTTTTTTTTTTTTAAGCTTTAATTTTTTTTAATAACTTTAATGAGCATTTACAGAGATTTTGGATTTCCATTCAGTCATTGCTGCACTTCTCTCCCCGCCCAGCCCTCCCCCCACGCCCCAGTTCGCTCCTCTCTTTCAAAAGTAAAAGAAACGCTCCCTCTCTGGTACA